TGATTCATGCTGAGAATGTGGAGTCCTCAAGTAGAAGATGACCCAAACCAGCTCATAAGGCTTTTGTACTTTCATAGCTTTTCTCTGTTGGAGGCCCTTCTGCTGAACTGGATTTGGAATGAATATTTCACTTGTGGGAGGGGTGGGAGAAATATTTTCAAAGCAACACGTACTTGGCCTCTGCGTTCCTCTTGCCTTATTTGTGGTTCTGCGGTAGTACAGTCCATACTTTTCAGAACACCACATGGAATTTCTCAATCAGAGAAGCAGCGACAGACCGGCAAGTAGAGCAGAGTTGCATAAGTGCTTAAAGTCACCATACATGAATTAAAAAGAGATTGAAGAGCCTAGCGGCACCTCTGTAAAACATTGAGGATGATATTATGGGGTATAATTTTGAAAGCGTTCTTTGATATGACAGAAGAACTGAATGCTCTATTGATTTGACCCAGTATGGCATTGTTTTTTTTTTTTTAAATCTCTTTTCAGAATCTTAGGGGGAGGAAGGAACTTGGAAAAGTCACTTGTTTTCTTGAGACTGGATGGAACTATTCCAGACAGATGAGACATCTAAAGCTTGATTCATATTATCTGTCAGTTTCCAATTGTAATATTTAATAGCACTGACCATCAGGAAGCTTTTGTGTTTCACCTAGAGGAATTGGGATTTTAATCTTCTCTGTGGATTCAAAACAAAACAAAACAAAACAAAAAACTTTGAAAATAGAAACTGTTACCTTTATTTCACAAGCATAGTTTTGTTCCCAGCTCTTAGAGGGAGAACAGAATCCTAACCCAAAACCATTCATTGGACCCCAGTAGTCAGATGGGCTATTTCCAGGTCTTAGAATGTGAAAACTATTAAAAAGTTTTCCTTGTGAGCTTGGGGTTTCAAAGAGGATCCCTTTGGAAAGTTGGCAAATACTTACTTTCCTGGCATGAAGATTGGTGTGTTTTTTTTTCCCCTCCACCCAGAGCTATGACAGGGTGGAGCATACTTCCGTGAAATTGCATGTTTCCAAAATAGAATTCACTGTTATATTTTACTGCCGTTAGAATTGAATCTCTAATCAAAAATAAGCAAAACCCAAACATTCTAGAAATAGAATTTCAGCTCATATTCTCTAATTTAGTCTTCATATAAGATGGAATTACCATACTTTATGAAAGTGCCTTTTGAGCAAAAATGTACCAAACAAACAATTTCCAGAGTGGTCCAGATTTCATTCTCCTTTCTGCAGCCTCACATCGTCACATCCACAGTCTCGTGTGGTAACAGCAGCCTATCATTATCTCTGTTCAGATTCTCTCACAGTCTGGATGGCTTCCAGGAAAGAGCTCTGCATTCTGCAGCTCCTCGTTCTTTAGCCCACATTTAACCTGAATGACCAGGAGCAATCCTGGTCTTGCTTGCTAGGGCGTTAGAACACTCTGTTGCCTGGAATGGAATGACCTGTACTAGAACTTCCTCATACGTTATAGAAGTGATGGCTGTAGGTGACCGTTGGAATTAGCAGGGTGAGAAAGCCACGATTGTTTTGCTGGCTTCTGCAAATTATATTCCTAAAGGGCGTCGCATGATGACAGGCTGTAGTTGTGGCAGATAATGCTAGGGTAATACCTTTTTAAATGCTTCACTCTTTGGTTCTTAAAAACGGAGCCCTTAATAGTGCACTAGAGAGAGAACCGTGACGTCAGTGGTCCAAGGGAGGAAGAGCATCCCTCCTGGTAGAGATTGTCAGAAACCTCTCCAGGAAGTCCCTCAGCTTTCAACCAACTTCTGCATACAGGAAGTGCTTAATAAGTGTGAGTGTCCACATTTCTCCTGGGCTTGTAGAGCAGAAAAGAAGTCAGAACTGCTCAAGAAGGAGTGGATGCTAATAGAAAAGATTCAACATTGTAGGGTTAGGAGGAGGAGGTGAACTTTACCACTTTGTCCTACCTTGAACTTGTATGTTCTGGTTTGGTGTTGGTTGGTTGGTTTTTCTTTTTCTTTTTTTAAGAATCCTATTCCCATTGTACTTGTCTTCAATAAATGTAAGATTCCTTCCTATCCCGAGATTTATTGTTGTTGTTGTTGTTGTTTGTTTTGTTCATATGGTTTTGATGTCCTTTAACTTTTTTGAGGAGAGTCACAGCAGGAGGTCTATCTCCTTTCACAGTGAACTCTTGACACTTAAAAGATCCTTTGATGACTTAGGACCCTCTTGCTTTCCTAGGTTTCTACAAGGAGGTGTTCTCCTATCTAAGAACCCTGCTAGGTTATAAGCTTAAAAGATCTTCCATGAAAGGCTCCCATGCAGTTCTTTGTCTCTTAAAGGGAAAGTTACTTCACATGAATGAGTAGAGCTTGTACTGTTTCCTTGAGGCACACGGCAGATGCCAGAGGAAAACCAAGAGTCAGGCTAGGGCATGAGGAGAGGACATGGCAGACGTACTAAGGAAGAGCCTTGAGTTGAGGGAAGAGAACACAAACAGGAGACGTGCTGTGTTATATGGGAAGTAAGCCCCCAAAGCCCATGTTTTCCCTCCTTGTTCAAGTTCTACTGAGGTTTCTCCCAGGAGATGAACTAACAGTGTGCATCAGATTGTATTTTTAGATACAAATCTGTTCTTTAAGTAAGGCTGTACAACCTGAACTTTGCCCGTCATTGACAGGGCACAAGCACATGTGCCTCGAAGCAAGGGCACTAACGTAAACCATTTTGTTGGAGCTTTTGGTTTGTCAAATAAAACTGCACAACCTCCGATCCTCAACACGTGCCATGTGCAGACCTTGCTACCCTTTCCCCCTTGTGATGGGAGAAAAGCAGGCAGACAGCAGGCACTTATATTATGGGAGCACATGGGACCACACTTCCGTTGTGTTAACTCACCTTGGGTGAAATGTTTGGAAACGTGGAGCTTGAGTACACTTGAACCTAGGGACTTAACTCTAGTGAACAGGTGAAAGAAGGAAACCAGAAGATAACATGTGGCATATTTTAACTGTAGCCATCCAGATTTCTTCAGTCTGTGATGTTTCGATTTACTCTTGGTGTTTCTTTAACTTCATCCATAATTATAACTTCAAAAAGTTTTCATTTACTCTGATTCTCTGCTGAGACTAATGAAGAGACAGGCTATGTCTTCCCCTTTGCTTTCCATCGTAGACGATTGCTCCAAACTCTGCCCATTCCTCCGTCCCCAGGCAGTGCCTTCAGTTTCACAGGGTTTTAAGAAATATCCTACCAAGTATTTCCACCTTACTGATTGTGCACTGTCAAAAACTGCTACTTCATTACCAGCAAAAGACTTTCAACCACATGTTCTTATATGTAACCTACATTCCTATTTGTTGGGACTTAGAATCCATGATGCTTCTAACCAGCTAAGGATATATATAACTAGGTGAAACAGAGCTGTGTCCACTGACCTTAGAGCACAGACTGGGCACAGAGCTTTTGTACACATACCAGAGTCTTATCTCTGAGAATCAGCACAGACACTTATTATATACATTTCTTTTTTTTTTTTTAATTTTTTAAATGTCTATTTATTTTTGAGAGGGGGAGAGACAGAGCATGAGCAGAAGAGGAGCAGAGAGAGAAGGAGATACAGAATCCAAAGCAGATTCCAGTCTCCAAGCTGTCTGCACAGAGCCCGATGTGGGGCTCGAACTCACGAACAATGAGATCATGAACTGAGCCGAAGTCGGACACTTAACCAACAGAGCCATCCAGGCGCCCCAATATACATTTCTTGAAATGGACAGGAAGTAAGACTATTGATGCAGCAGCGGAGCCTGTAAAATGGTTTTGAATATTTTAGGTGAAAGGTAGGATGGGTGTAGGAAGGACACGTTTTCTAAAGAATTTTTAAATAACTCCGCATGGGTCCTTCGGATTTGAGTATCAGTTTTCCCCACCAGAGACTAACATCGTTGTCCCTGCCCTGACCAGTAGACCTAAGAGGAGAGAAGTGGTGGAGACTCTGTGAGAGGAGACAGGTGGCCTGATTCCTTCCCTAAAATGGGCACTGGATTGATATATGTCATGATATCCATGATAACAAAGTAGAGACAGCAATAATGAGCTCTCGGTGCTGGTTGCCTCTCTCTAGAAGAGTTGAGCTTTGGATCACTCTTGAGCTCCCCGGATTGACATGTCCAAGTTTAGAAAAAGTAGAGAGTTATGGTTACCAAGAGCAGTAAGGTTGTTAGCATTTGCCAAGACTTAATGCTAGGAAAAGTCTGTTATAGAGGTGACTATTTTAAGAGAATGGTCAAGGCAAGGGGAGTCCTAGGAAGACACGCTTGGGATAAGGAGACAGCCAAATGTGTAGGTGATTCTAAGAATACAGTTTTATTGGCAAGGAACCAGTACACTGTATTGATTTCTGAGACCAGTGGTCTACTCTGAGGTTTAATGTTGTGCGTGGGCACGTTCTAATCACCTGCTCTCTGCCGGTTTGAGAATGTACCTCGGGTTGGATTTTTGTGAGTCATGGACCTGTAGCGTTAGCCTCGCTCTCAGAAGCTTCATCCCATCCATTAGCAGCATGCCAAATTATCTGGCCTGTTTGTGCTCTGCCCTACCAAACTTTCGAGTTAAAAAAAAAAGGCATGTTTCCAGAACGTTTTTAGGGACGCACCACTGTTGGATGTAGGTTTGGCCACTGTGTTGCTGTGCGTGTCCAGGTGTGGAAGAGCATTTGTATTCCCCAGCCTCTGTTATGCAGAACGAGTCCTTATCGCTATTTCATCCTGCGGGCCTAGCATGAAATGATTTGATGAGAATGTTCTCAAACTGAGAACGAACGGGATGTGGCACCTGCCACATCAAACAAAGATAAACACAGGTGGAGGGCACTTTCCGCCTCTTATGCAGCTGACCTTTATCAGCATCCCCTGTGTGTCCCGCTGTGTACACAGAGTTTGACATCGAGAGACACTGATGTTGTGGGAACGTATTCCAAGTGTGTGCTTTTAAGGTGATTTGTTCCTCTGCTCCCATGAACAGGTATCAGTATTACCTGCAAGTCAAAAAGGACGTGCTTGAAGGGCGACTGCGGTGTACATTGGAACAGGTGATCCGGCTGGCCGGCTTGGCTGTGCAAGGTAAGGAGCGTGGTGGCCAGCACACGAGATCCCGTTTTTGGTTTGACTGCGGTGTTGCCGGCCTCTCCGAGAGAAAAAGTGAATTTACTGAAACGGTCCCTTAGTAACTCTCACTTTTCATGTTAAGATCCGTTAAAAACGTGGAAATGATTTCTGGTGGCAGGCTGGTGGATTTCCCAAGGCTGCTTGCAAATTGCTCGCGCTTGTATAATTTTAGTTTTATTTGAAGAAATAGCAGCTTTCATCCTGCCTTTAATTAAAGCTACATGCAGGGTTTGCGGAACATTTTCTCAGAATGATTCCACTGCCCGATGTGGTCATATTTTGTGGCTTCATGTCGTGAGTCTTTGACTTTCACGTCAGTTTCAAGTGTGGTCGCTTCAAACATTGCAGTGTAATTTATACTCACACACTTAAAGAGAGAAATACGTATATGTGTATCATATATAATATGAAGCAACAGACACATAGCAAAGTACCTTCATCTTTCAATCTGTCCTGCTTCGATTTATGAGAGCTATTTTTTTAATCTTTTCTAAGTTGTTACATATGTTTTTACATACATTTAGGTAACATGTTACATGACCTTTACATACATTTATACATTACTTTTAATTGAGTGGTAACTTAATTGCCTTTAGTCATATTGGAAACAAGAAAATAAAATATAATTTTTTAAAAGAAACATGTTTCCCTTTTGGTGACTATTTTCTTTAAAATCAGTTCCTGTCCAAACGGAATGCCAGGCGGCTGAGTCCTTGCCGTGCGGACTGTTGTTTCAGAAGCTGTGAACTGAACTTCCCATCCCCAATTCTGAACTGAAGTTGAACCTTTTGAGTTCTAGAATGTCTAAAGAGGCAGACGTCCCTTGATCTCTTTCATCCTGGAGTATTAGCAGTCTGGCAATTTTTGTTGGATGTACGATTCCTAGTAGTTAGCTGCTGTTGTTACCTCATGGATGAAAATACACAAAATACGGTGTATCCCATCTGTCCACTTACAGACTGGAAAGGGAAGGAGCGGTGCCCAGAACGATACAAAAGAACAATTAGTGGTCATAAGAGAAAGATCATTAAATAACGGAGAAGACCCCCTTTAGCAGGAGGAAGAGAGAGAAGACCCATTGTGTCCCTCCTCTGCAAATTGGATATTTCTCCTTTTAAAAGTTTTCTCCTCTGTTCACTTTATTACTGGTTTTTCCTTCTTACTCTTCAGTCATTGGGTTTATCATAGGCCTCCTGGATCCTGGAAGACCCTGGTGATAGCTTTCAGGCTATGGGAAGTCGGTGAACTAACTCTGGCTTTTTTCACTGGGTCCCTGAAGTTGGCCATTCAGTCTGACGGAACTTTCCCCAGTTGTCATATTGGTAAAATATTTTTCCCAAGAACCCTTGGTGGGCCCTTGGAAAGACACATCCACTTAGTTATAAGTCGTGATTTAATACGGCAACTGATGGGTAAACTTGAAAACAGGCCAAGCATGTGATCGTTGCTGCCTTGAACGTCTCACCTAAGTGCTCATTAGTTATGCAGAGTTTGTTAGGCACGTCTTTGTCTTCTCAGCAACGTGTGTGCACCAGCTTTCTGTGTGGACTCTTGTATTCTGTATCTCTTGTACCTTAAAGATACCTGCGCACCCATTTCTACCTCAGGCCAGATGTTTTACGTGAAATGAAGTCTGTATCCTGCTTGGTCTTAGAGCCAGTGGGATTCCATGCAAGACACGTATAGATTGGTGCTGTAGACACACTGTGTTCTTTTCGCGTGTGCTCAGACATACCACAGTGAGATGAAAACAGGGCAAAACAGAATTTTGGGCATCTTGCAACATGTCACCTTGTTTAGGAGATGTAAAACTTTGCAGGGGTGTTTTGCCAGCGGTGATTTATGGTGGGAATTTCCAGCTGCAAATAATATGAAAAGATGCAGATGGGTTTGGCTCTTCAGTTCTCCCAATTAACCTTGAGTTAAAAAGTCCCCTTGGCAGATACTCTTAAGATAATGTGTGGGTGCGTATTTAACAAAAACATAAGTATAGGTTTGTTTTAAATTTTTAAAATAGCTCAGGGATCGCTTTCAAATTTCCCCATTTTTTTCTCCTAGAAAATTGTGTGATCGTGCTCAGATGCTGATATTTACAGTACTGCTAAGTAAAAGTGGCAACAATATCAAACACATCGTGGCACTGTTTTTTTTTTTATTGGATAGTGCAGAAATAGGATGGAGTAATGAAGGTGGCAATAATTTTACCCTTGTTTTATTGCATCTTTAATTTCATGTAATAAATCATACCATTCCCCCCACCCTTTTCTTCTCAGCTGATTTTGGAGACTATAATCAGTTTGATTCTCAAGATTTCCTCAGAGAATATGTGCTGTTTCCTATGGTAAGTGTAATTTCCTTTTTCTTGATTAATTTCCTACTACCTTCTTTGAGTGTTTAATTCTTTCCTTTGAAGATCTCAGAGGATTTTCCATACACGTATTTCCCAGGGAGGAAGAAATCCATGCATTTATAAAGTGGGGACGCATTTTGTAAAAATACTGAAAAATTAAAGGTTCCTCTTCCTGCCTCAAGACCTCTCCCTGTCCCCTGAAACCCCCCTCCCCAGTCCCCATGTCCACTACTGTCCAGGGCCATGACACTCTTCCTAACTTTATGAACGTATCAAGTTTGCTCCCATCCCAGAGCCTTCGTCCTTGGGTTTCCTGTGCCTTCAGTGCTGTGCTCCAGATCTTTCTGTGACTTGACATTGAAGTCTTGAGTCAGATATCACCTCCTCAGGAGGACTTCCTTTTTCCATGACCACCTCTATGTACACTCCAGCCATCCACCACTTTGTGCTAAATCACCTTTTATGTGCATTCTTCGGAGCGCTTTCAGTATCTAAACGTGTTCATATTGACGGACTATCAGCTGGAATGTCAGCTCTATGGTCCTTAAGCAGATACCCTTCTGTCTTGTCACTTGTGTGGCATATATTCTGCGCTCATGAAAATTCATTGAAAGAGTCAGTGGAGTCAGTGAACTCAGACGCCCAGTCTTGGGTTAAATTAGGAACAAGGCTAGGTTTTAATCCCTGGAGAATGTTTGTTTGTTGTTTGGAAGCTTTGGAGTAAATGAGAAGAGTTTTAATGAGGAGGAATGAAGACGTTTGAAAAGCTAGACCCGCTACAGTACCCTGGCTATGATTTTAGAAACCTTGGTCATTCACCACTTGTTTTTTTAATCCACTGTTTTGCCCAAAGCACTGACATGGGTAACTAGCTACCAGGAAATAAAGTTATATAAGAAACGGTGCTTGTTCTCAGGGAAGCGGCCGAATAGTTGGGTAAATAGGAAGTTTGCAAAATCAGAATGCAAAGCCAAGGGTAATAAAGTGCAGTCAGGATTTTATGCTGGGAGAGGTTACATCTGCTTGGGGGAGGGGGTGAGTTAGGGAAGGTTTAAAGACTAATGGTGTGTGAGTTGTATCTCAAAGCGTGGGCAGCACTGGAGCAGGCAGACAGGTAGGGAGCAAGGAATGATCTAGACGGAGAGAAAGAGCAGGGGCCAGGTGGCATGAGTGATTGTGCAAGAGTCAGTGGTGAGTCTGACTGTCGCTCAGTAATGGCAGCAGATGCGATGAAACGTTTCAGGGCCGAAAACCCATGGCATCCGTCTGGGGATTTGCAGACGCCACAATTTGAGAACTGCTGGATTAGAGCAATAAGACCATTTGTGAAAGGAGGTCAGATGCGGCATGGTGCTCTTGGCAGGAGATGATTTAGGTGTTATGAGTGACAAGAAAAATGCGAAAGCAAAGCAAGAGGTATTTTGGAAATAGAATGAACAGAACTTGGCATCCAGTTGGCTGTGGCATATGGAGAAAGTAGAGTGTCTAGTTCAAGTTTTGAAAGACTAGGATAAGTAAGGCTGTAGTTATTATCCCTCTCAGGGTTTGAGATGAGCTTGGATTGCTGCACACTAACCTTTATTCTTATAGGTCAGGGAAATACTGCAAGATCTCTGTGTTCTCATGAATAATTCTTTCCTTATTCTTCTTCCCTCTAAGAAAACAGCTATATTGTCTGATTGGTCTGTTGGTTTTTATGCCTTGTTAACTCTACCCATCAAATCAACCTGTATCCAAAGAGATTAGCGTATTGCTTGCCAGAGAAGCGCTTCATAAGACTTGGTGTCAACATGCTTGAATCAACATCTTCAGCATCTCAGAGGCTCACCTCAAACATTGGGAGGTTCCCCAGTGTGCTTATGGGGAGGAAAGTAACATTCACACCTGAGAATTTTAGAGAGAGTGCTTTTTTGTGTCAGTGGAGACAAGAATTGGGTTGATAATTTTCCACGATTTTTTTTTCACCTTTCTAAAAGGTCTTACCTAACCTTTGGGCAGAGACCAGGCTTAGGTGCTGTTTAGAATTTTAATGGTGATTGCCAGCATGATACTGTGAGTTTGTAGATGTTAAAATGCTTTGACAGGTCCCCTGGCTACCTGTGAAGCTGGAAGGAGTTATTTTGTGTATCATACCTTTTCCAGAATAGGACTGTGTCTCCACTGGGCTCTGAGCAAATCAGATACCTGAACGGCATAGACCTTGTTAAGTCTCAAAGTAAACAGACAAATATGGATATGTTATTCTTGGATCTAAACTTCCCCTCTTCGAGATAGTAGCAACTTCCATTGAGACACAGGGCCGTGTATATCCAAATTGAAATGACTTAAAGTTAAATAAAATTAAAAATCCAGTTCCTCAGTTGCATTAGCTACATTTGAAAAACACTCCGTAGGGGCACCTGGGTGGCTCAGTCGGTTAAGCGATTGACTCTTGATTTCGGCTAAGGTTAAGCTCTCATGGTTTGTGAACTCGAACCCCACGTCAGGCCCTGTGCTGGCAGTATGAAACCTGCTTGGGATTCTCTCTCACCCTCTTCTCTCTCTACCCCTCCCTCCCTCCCACACTCACTCACTCCCTCTCTTTCAAAATAAATACACTTAAAATTTTTTTTTAAAAAATAAAAAAACTCTCAGTAGCCGCTTATGGTTAGTAGCTGCCATACTGAAAAGCTTGGATATAGAAATTTCCATCATTACAGAAAGTCTTGCTGGACAGCACGAAACACGCCGTGGCAGAAGCTGATGTCAGTGTGTACATCCGAACCGCGAATGTTCCCTGGCTTCTGCCCTGTCATTCTGTCCCATGATGTACCCCGGATACATGGTGAACTGTGGTCAGAAGCCAAGCATTCTATGCCCATGTCCTGGCTGTGCCATTTACCGGCTGTGTGAACTTGGGCCATTATTTAATTGAATCTGTTTTAAAATTCAATTATTTCACCAAAGCCTCCGTTTTCTCATCTAAAAATGAGGCTAGCATGCCTCCTCCAGCTGTCAGGGCTGAAGGAGAGAACACACGTGATGTGTGTAACTTGACATGCGGTGAATTCTCAGTAAGCAGTTAGTTGTCCTTGTCATTGCCATCATCATCATCTTATTATTAGCATCACTGTCTGTCTCTGTTATGCAAGTGCCAGGAGGCTGAAGACTGCTTTTCAGGCACCAACACTACACTGTTTTAAAACGTAAGCAGAGGACAGGCCAATGGTGCAAACGATCACTAACCTGCTCTGCGCGATTAGAAACTCTGGTTTGACGATGTGAAACTTTGTTGCATATTGAGTTTAGTACGATAAGCATTTATTGAGCACTTACTGCATATGGAGAGCTTATAAGCATCGTGTAAGAGCCCGTGATAGGCCCCTAAGTGATACTGAGCAGAACTGCTGGCCTTAGAGGCCTGTGATGAAGTAGAACGAGGGTGAAGGGTAAAGGGTTAGATGGGCATCCGGGTAACTCTGTAAGAGAGACAGTAGGCCAGCTGTGGTGAGGGTGTATGAGCCACATGCAGAGCGGAAGAGGAAAGGCTTACTTACATCCGCGTGGGGGAATCAGGAAGCCCAGTCAAGGGAATGGTAGCTGAGACGAAACCTGAAGGACAGGGTGACATTTCACTCACTGTGATGGGCCCCGGCTGGTTCCTCCTGGAAGGCTCAGCTTGAGTGTGTCAGGAGACATAGAAGCATTCTCTTAGGAAGAGGGCTTTGCCTGAGGCCTTGAACCTTTGAGACAGAGGCCTGGAAGGGAAGGCCGGGTCACGCCGAAGAATGGTCTGAATGCCAGGCCCAGGTGTTGACCTAATTGAGCAGGCAGTGGGGAGCCACAGAAGGTTGTAAACCTTCTGCGCCATTCCGCTGGAGTTTTCAAAGAGAAGACCACATTCCTTTGGTGGGGGAGGGAAGATGGGATGAATGGCCTTGTTTGATCTCACGAAGCAACCGAATTTGTCAAATGGCGTTTCTGCGGCAGAGAAAAGAACAAGTGAAGGACACAGGGCAAGCCACAGGTGTGCTGCCGTGTACAGGCACGCAGTCTGCCGTTTTTCATTTCCGCGGGGCCACTCGCGCATTCTGGGGGGCAGGGGCGCATACCTCAGGGGGGCCCACACCCAGATGGAGGCGCTTGAATTGAGTACAATAGCACAGGGGCACCTTTAGTCTTTTTCTCCTTTCAGAGTAGGAAGCGGAGGCTCAAGGGAGCACTTTGTGATCTTCACTTACCTTTATTTTATCCTACCGCCACATGCCTTTCATTAGCTTTTCCAAATCAGTAGAGTGTTGGGACTACCGCCCAGGACCCAGATGCACGCCCGGCACGCCCGTGGCCCTTCCATGCAGCCGCTTTGTTGTTCCCCGGCATAAAACTGACCCTAGTCCTCATCGGGGACTTGAGCCATTTCAGTGGATGGCTAAACGGACACAGCAAACTCTCCAGTTAACGGATGAGAAATAAGAGCTGCCATGATCCCCTCCACCGTCTCCAAGAATTTTCGTGACCACCTGCAGTGCTATAGAATTGTATAGTGTGTAGTTACACCCTCATTTTCCGGATTTAAAAGATACTGATTTTCACGTTTTCCTGATTTGAGATGGGATGTTTCTTGTAGTTTTGAGGTGTTACTACTTTTTGGGGATGGGGTTTCATCCATGGAAAATTGTTAAATTGGGGGCCATCGCTATGTAAATGGTACTTTAGAATCAAGGGAATCGGCCTTTGGGATGTTTTCTGCCAAACCTCAGCCCCCAGCCCCTCACCCCCGTGTCTACGATGAGCATCAGAGCGCCTCACCAGGACACACAGCTCGGAGGCCCTTCCGACACGCCTTCTGGAGCTCAGAGTGTCGTGGCACATGTATCTCTGCCCTCCTCAGTGCTTATCAACCTAGGGGCAGACGGCGGGAACCGGCCCCTAGGAAGGTCCGAGGCGGCTGGCCCTCAGCCTGAGCCTCCACAGGCTACCACCAGGGACTCCAGGAGCTCTGGAGTCGCCACGTCTGTCTGGGTCTCAGGAACTGGTTGCTCTCATCTCCCTGTCTTGGATTTCTTCCTTCAGACCATCTCCATGCTAGTGAATGTGTAATGATCCCTGATGTATTCCTGCTGTCTGTGGAGGGGTGTTGGGAGGAGGTATGTGTGATTGGCTCTAATCCCGTGGGAGCCAGCACAGCAGGGGTCCCTAGGGGCCTGGGATTCAGGTGGATTCAGGTGGTCGAGATACTGGCTGGCCTGCTACACGTGGTCCGCTTCCGGAACTCCCTACTTCTCCCCAGCCTGGCCTCTTGGGCTCCATGGAGTCTGCCAAGGACCATGTATGAGCCCTCCCTGCCTTCAGGTAGCTCTGAATTAGTGCATGGATATTGTGGTGGACAAAACCGCCAGGCACAGCCCCTTTCTAGGCTCAGCGTTTGAAACCATGATGGGCTGGAAATTCATACCCTGATTGTTAAAAATACAGAAGTCCTGACAAAGCAGCTTCAATAAAAGTGAGTCTGGGAGGCAGACAAAGAAGAAAAAGGTAAATGAAGACATTGCTATTCCTATACCCTCTAGAATTTAGGTGGCTGCCCAAACTATGTCTTGAAATAGGCACGTTAGTTGTTAAGTGGAGAGCCTGAGTTACAGCGGAGAGCCATGTTATAAAAGTAAGAACGGACCGTCAGCCCGAAAGTGGACCACCTTTGATTTGAAGGAGTAAAGGGGAGATGGATGAAGTGAGGCTAATCAGGAACATCTGGAGAACAGAGCTCCTAAGGTTTGCTCCTAAGCAAAACAGTACATGACTTTAACCGCTTCTGTTTTGATAGGATCTGGCCCTGGAGGAGGCCGTTCTGGAGGAGCTGACACAGAAGGTAGCCCAAGAGCACAAAGCCCACAGGTAGGGCCTGACCAGCAGCTGGCTCCCCCCCACCCCACCCCACCCCCACCCCCAGCCGCTGGCTCCCACCCCAACCGCTGGATCCCCAGCCCCAGCCGCTGGCTGCACTGCTTCCTGCACGTGGTTCTGCCCGTTTCCAGAGGCGTGTATAGATTCCAAAACTGTGCTTGCCCTCCCTCCCCTTTCTCCTCTTCTTCTTTTTTCTTTCTCTCCCTTTCTTCTTTCCTTTTCTTCTTTCACACCAGCCCACATAGATGTGAAGCTGTTAGCCAGCAGAAGTCTTCTCTCTGACCTTCCTAAATCTCTGTTGCCAGAGCTGGGGAGCCCGGGGCTGCTTGAGCTAAGTGTGAAGACCTACAAGAACTGCTTTGGATGGGAAGGTCAAGGTCAAGAGGGAGAGGAGCAAGACTGGAGGAGGCACTGAGAGCTTGTTAGCAGGGTTATGTGGAGCTCTCTGGGACCAATGGGAAACACCTTCCCTTCCGACCTCAGAGGACCTGTGCAGGGGTCCCAGGCTCCCTCTCCTTTTGGCCACTCAGCTGCCAAAATAACATCCTCATAAGCTTTTTCCTTGTTTTCTTAATAGTGGAGATTTTTTTCCCCCAGGTGGGAGAAAAATAACTTTTTTTTTTAAAGCAGTCACAGCATTATTCATAGGGATGTCTGAAATAATTAGTGTTTATAGGGCTGAGGCTCTTAATTAAATACCTTCCTCTTATTCTTCCCCGTTGAGTGAAGGCTGGTGGGGAATATGTTAACAAATTCCTTAGTAATGTACCATGTCCTCACAGTTGGGTGATGATCACTCTTCCCAGAACTAGAGCTGAACCACAGCTCTGGAATTTGCCATCAGGAGTGTAGGATCTCCACTGCCTCTGTCGCTCTTAATCATTTCCTCCTTTGATGCTGTTTGGATTTTAGTGGAATTCTGCCCTCAGAGGCTGAGCTCATGTACATCAACGAGGTGGAACGTTTGGATGGATTTGGACAGGAGATCTTCCCCGTGAAGGTAATGCACCCTGGCCTGTACCTCCTTCAGCTTTCTCCGAACGTCCCTGGCGATTGGAAAAGAGTGATAGGCCACAGGCCAGAACGACCTGGCTTCCTTATCGCCACAGGGCATTAGACAACTTGTCCTGTTTACTTTAGGTAAAGCAAACACTTCTTCTTAACTAAGAGATTTTGAAGTTTTCCCTGGTCGTGGGCAGAATAGCTTGTTCGTAAGACAGCCGTCTGAGTGAGTACCAAACACAGCCCACCCACCAGCCCTGGGAAGATATGCGGTCACCTCCAGTTTTGCGACAGGAAAGCAGCTCTTGTCAGCTGTGCGTTAGTATGAAGACCCCACCCAGGAATATTCTTTACTCGCTGCTTCTCTCTCTCTCTTCTTTGAGCTGACACAGGAATCATTGCTTGGGAGGCAGAGAGAAACCTTTCCTGTATGCAAGCACACTTTCTGTCTTGAGTTCTGGAGAGCCTCCATTGTGGGTTTCCAGCCCCTTTGGTGTTTTCTGGAAGCTGTGCCCAGGAAACCGTTACAGCACATCACGTCCTTTGCAACAGATCCCCATCCTGAAGTGGGTGTGGTTGGGGGGGGGCGGGTCACGGTGCATGGTCATTTATGGAGCGGAGCCCATACTCCACACTCGTTTTCTTCTCTCCACTGACCCACTCTGCAGAAGACAGAGCTTTGTCACAAACCTTAAAGCAACTGGCACATTTCCACAGTTTGGGAGATGGTGCAATTTTAGCACAAACATTTCATTCTAAACTGGCTCCGCTGGCTGTTTTATAAGTGTTCTGTTCCTCTCTGCTGCTTGCTTGCAATTTGCCTTAATGAGAACTGCCCATGTGCATCAAGTAGAACGAGCAGGGTGGCCGCAGCTTGTGGAGAGGGCTAAACGGCTCTTTTTTAGATTTGTTTAATTTTCTTTTGCTTCTCTAATGGCCACCCTTTGTAGGGTTGTAATCCATTTTCCTTGCAATAATGCCTTATGAAGCCATCTGCATCCCACTTACATTTCAGCCGCCCATATATAGTCATGATATTTTGGGCTGTTGAAAAATCAGGGTAAACTTTTCTCCACTTCCAGAAAACTGACTTCCCAGCCCCAGGAAGTCCGGGGTTTCGTTGTTGTGTTCACTTATTCTGTTGTTTTTGGTCATTCTGGGCTGTGGGAAACAGGGGCAGTGGAGATCATGTTGAAATCTGCTGTGCCTGTCCCCGATGCACTTTCTGGTATGTTCTTTCGTGGGAAGAGCACAAGGGGGGTACTGTCTACCTCGGTCTGAGTGGGCAGACAGGCACTGCTGACTCACAGCCCGTGTGTGTGACTTAGCTGGGTGCCTTCTGTTTCCCCACGTGTCTGTTCATGACTAAGGCGACCACCTACAGACCATGTGATGCCCAGGGACATGGGTGACGGGAGGGGCCATGGTCAGCTCTGAGATATGCGAAAAAGACAGGAGGGTGTGCAGGGGCAGACCGAGCAGCGATAGAGCCCCAAGTAAAGTAGACAAGCCTGCTATGGCTATATCTTAGGGAAGAACATTTCCACGTAGTGTGGGCTTTTCCACCAGTGGTTCCTCAACGTTTTTCAAGGTCAGAGGCGTTCCAGTCCACTTCCTGACAGGTCTGCCTCTCCCCCTCCATGTGCACAGGCGGGCATTGCCCCGTGGGCTCCCCATGTTGTCTAAGCGCATGGACACAGAGAGGGTGCTTGTGTCTAGAGCCTCGATCCTTACCGGAGTGGGACACCAAGCCCCTGAGTTTTGACCCACACGGTGTCTGGGCATCTGTCCTATGTTTGTTTCATTGCCAGGCCCTGGTGAACTGCTCCTGCCGCGGCCTCATCCCCACCAGCCTGTGGCACCAATTGATCTACTGGTCTTGTGCACCGGAAGGCTGTTTGCAGGATTCTTTCCCTTCCCCTCTCCACTTCTCCTGACTGCTTTTCCCACATGGGTTTTTCTGCAGTGTCACTTAGCTTGTAACGGCTCCTGACGCCCAAGGCACTTCCTTTCCTTCCCTCTAGACCCTCTCCCGACCCTCCCTCTGCTTTGCGTCCAACAGCTGTCTTGCCCTCGCTCTGTACCTGTTACAAGAGCCCTGTTCTAAGGTGTGCTTCGGCAGGTGGGCTGGGGAGAGGTCCCTGCGACTGGACACTGTCGTCCGTGTGTCTTATGCGAGATCAGGGGTTCTGAGGAATGCAGACATTTTCTTTTATCATCCCATGTCTGGTCGTGCACGCCTCTCTGCTCAGGCCACAAAGAGGGCATCTCCAAGGACAAGCAGGGGGCTGAGGGACGGTTTATTCCCCCGGTGGTGAGCCTTGTGCCCACTCTGCTCCCAAGCACGCTGACAGCGCTCAGGCTCTCCCAGGCAGGAGGTCGGAAACATCTGATGGGATCAGGAGACCAGACGTGGAGATCAGTCATCTGGGCTTCCTCGGCCCAAGGCCCGACAGATTGCCCAACAGCTCTGCGGTCCTCACGCCTGCAGGAAGGCGTGTGCTCAGGAAGCTCCCAGTCAGCGCTCAGCATCCAGCTCTGCACCATGACTCTGTGGCCCAGCATCACCCCACAGGGTGCCCTTGCGGGAATGACTGAGGCCAGCACAGCCAGAATGAAGCAGCCTGGAAGACATAGAGACTGCAGGGTGAAGGGCTCCCTGCCCCAAAATACCATCCTCTGAGTCTCCAGTATATTATGTCCTTCAGGGAATAGATTGCTTTTCAAAGGGGAATGTTCAGAAAATTAAAAAAAAAAAAAAAAAGAGAGAGAGAAAAGAACTCTCAGAAATTAAAAATGTGATATCAGAAATGGAGAATGTAATAGGTTGCCAGATAAAAATAAGAAAATCTCACCAAAAAGTGAAGTTCGGAATGTGGGAGGTGGGAGATAAAATTAGAAAGCCAGCGCAGGATGTCCAACATCTGAATAATGGGACTTCCCAGGAGCAAACGGAGGAAATGAGGCTAGAAAGTGGAGAAAGTACCCCAGCACGGAGGAACACGAGGTTCTAAATCAAAGACAGCACAGTGGATGCAAATAGACCAACACCAGGGCATGTGGTAGTGGAAGTTGATGTCCGTAGGGAGAGGAGATGGTGGGACCAAATCTGCTGCGGGCTGCTTCTCACAGGCCCCAAGGGATATACTCAGTTCTTCAGCCTGCGGCCGTATGTAATCACACGTGTGTGATACGCCTACGTAATCAAACTGCGTACATGTGTAATTTTGATTTACAAGAAAACCAAAGTAAAAAAGATATTAATAGATGTTCATGAAAGATAAGATCGTAAGTGCCAAGAAATCTGAGAAAATCCTAAAAAATCTCTCTTGGACAGGAAATGTGTTGGGATGAATTCAGTTAAAAGAAAAAAATACATATTTATGTATATAGTTCACTAGGATGTGCAGGGGGGTGGGTCCCTTCAGGACCACGTTGCCTATGGTCTGGATGGTGTCTGTGATTCATTCATTGGTGGGCAGGAAATGGGGTGTGGCCCCCACGGGTGGGCTGTGGCCCAAGCGCTCAGCGCTGCCAGTGATTGGTTTCTTCCCCCCCCCCTCCTTGCTCTCATGCAGGACAATCATGGAAACTGTGTGCAGCTGGGCATTTTCTTTATGGGGATTTTCGTGAGAAACCGAATTGGAAGACAAGCGGTAATACACAGGTAGTCTCATTCGAGTCTTTTTCCTTTTGTCTTTTTCCCCTTGAGGGACTCCAGAAAACCCTGCTCTGTAGGACAGTTACCCGAATGAGTTAAGAGCCAGACTATGGATCAGAATCGAGCTTTTCTCAACTCAGAGATCAGCCCTCTCTCCGTGCGATTTGAGCGCTTATGGAGAAACACATCTCACTTTTCCTGGAGGCCTGGGTGGGGGTGGGGGGTGGGGGCAGCGTTGTCTGTTCACCTGAGTCCAGGAAAGGTGCTCTGGCCCGGCGGAGCCACGCTGCGAGGCTGGCTGGAAGGAGGCCGTCCCGTCAGTCCTGCCGGCTGCCTCGGCCAGGATTATCCCCGGCCAGTCATTCAGTCTGGATTGGCTTCTTTCCGTTTTCTCTCACCCTCTGCCTCACCACGTGTGCTAGAAGAGTGAGGACTAATTTTTATATTAAATACATATTTATGAAAGTGCATTCTGAAAAGCATTGGATTTGTTGTCATGAATTAAAAGATTTTGGGTACTTTTTTATTATTTGGCATTTTAGAATTTTTTTTAATGCTTATTTATTTTAGAGAGGGGGAGCACAGCAGGGAAGGGGCAGAGAGAGAGAGAGAGAGAGAATGAGAATCTGAAGCAGGCTCCAGGTGCTGAGCTGTCAGCACAGAGCCCAACACAGGGCTCAAATTCACAAACCTCTAGATCATGACCTGAGCCGAAGTTGGACGCTTAACCAACTGAGCCACCCAGGCGCCCCTCATTTTGTGTTTTAAACCCTCTTCTCCATTTAACGTGAGAGAACCAGTATAGGGACTTGGCGACACGTCTCCTTGGGTCATGTGTCCGTGAGCTTGCTTGTGTTGGCACCCGAAGTTGCTACCATAGTGTCAGTGATCTCAAAAGCCACATGCTTGCTTTCATTTACAAGGGCAATATGGTCAGTTGTTGAAGAAGAGCTTTCCCGTTCATGCATTTGATAGTCATAGCTGGGCACCTGGGTCAGATTATCAAAGACAGCTCCTAGATGCAAAGCAAAGTCCACCTTCTGGAAGTGGATCTGGCCCAGCTGTGTACTCTCTAGATCAGCAGCTGATCTGGGTCATTTTGCAAATATTTTCCCACCAAAAGCTTCCTAATTGGCTCTTTTCCCTGCTAGGTCCCCACCCTTCCATTTCTTTTGTTTATTTATTAATTTTTTTTTTGCTCTGTGAATGGGGGCATTATCCAGCAGTAGTAGAGGAAAGATCTCTGTGGCTGCAGAATAAAGTTTTTGACTTCTGGACATACTCAGTCAACCCCATATACCTACAATAAATTACAAATTGCTCAAGTGGAATACCTAAGCTGTGCAGAGTTGTAACTATGAATTTTGGAATGCAGCCACGAAGGAAGCAGAATCTCTAGTTACAAGATGCCACCCAGGCATTCTGGCCCACACCATCCTTCATAGCTGAATCAGTGCTTCATTTTCTCCTCGAGCCTAGAGAACTAGACAAGCCCTGCATTCCAGCTATGGAGGTTGAATAGAAGAAAATAGCAGTTTGGAACTTTGCTGATGAGAGGCCACTCATAGGCCTGGTTCAGTTCCTCAGGAACTGCTTCCACACCTCATCCTTCAGGCCTTATCTTGAACCCCCACCAGGATGGGAACTTATTCCTCCCATAGTGTCATGGTGATGACGCCCCTAGGCGAGCTCGTATTGTGGACTGAGGAGCGGATCCAGAGTTTGGGCAGTGGATTTGAAGGAATAGAGCCTGAGGAAACCAAATATCTCTTACCGCTAGAGACTTTCACTGAGGAGCGTGCAGCTCTGAGTCCGTGGAGACGAAATCTCATGGACTTATAAGTCAGCAGACAGCTGTGCTGATCGCCTATAGAGAGTACGGCCCCAGCAGATGTATGTAAACACAGTTGGTACTGGAGTCATGGAGAGGAGACTGGAGGAAAGCCCGGAGGCCCCAGGGATAGAACTCATGCATCCCCAGGGAGCAGAGTGAGTGTGGCTAAGTCATGTACTCGTTTGTGCCTAAATTGTCTCGTCTCTAAAGTAGGAACAAAAACAGCCGCCTTGTCTACCTCAGAGAGTTGATAAAGAAACCATACTCTACACAGATGGGAGGTGATATTACTACTTTTAATTCCTTCAGCAAACATTTACTGCATGTTGAATGCCAGTAACTTGCCTTGTGCTTGGAATACAGCCACGAAGGAAGCAGAATCTCTAGACACGGTGTCTTTGGTCTAGTTTAGCTTAGCTCCGGGTCCAGTCGCAGAGGTAAACAGTTGTAATACCACGTGGTGACCGATAGGGGGCTATACGCAGGCGAGGAGTGGTTGGGGCCAAGGAAGAGAGCTGAGTCTTAAAGGAATCATCTGGGCAGAGGATAGGGCAGTGTAAGGTTGGCCTTAAGAAGGAGTTCTAGATTGGGGCACAGTGAAGGTAGACAGTAGTAAGAGATGGCTATGAGGCTCCAGGTAGAATGGGAAACTGTAGCTTACCTTCCCCGGGCACTTTCTCTTGGTGGCGTAGTCTGTAGCCTACGCGGCAACACAGAATCCGTGTGGATTCTTTGGCCTAGATTTCTAGAAACACATGACTTCGAAATAACATGCTCTTCCATGTTTAAGAGCAGGGATCACGTGAAGTGCTTTGCAGTTTGGCAATGTGAAAAACAAGGCAGAAGTTCCTTGCACACTGTCCTCATAACTAGTCCTAAAGGAAGGTGCACCTTCTCAACAGCAGTATCCCGACATACTTTATACAGTATCCTTAGCTATTTAAGTTGACCCATGTAGTGTTTTCCTTACTTTTTTGCTTGGAGAGAAGGAACATTTAGCTTTTAAGACTATAGTTACATCATCATTGGTAAAATGAGACTCACCAGTAGTAGGTGACCCTCATATGCTAATTCATAGCTGCATGGGACATCACTGGCCAACCCGGCTGCATTTCTTTTGACCAGGTGGAATGACATCGGGAATATCTCACACAACAAGTCGACTATCCTGGTGGAACTGCTCAACAAAGAAGAGACAGCCCTCTTTCACACGGTAAGCACAACGGAAAGACGGGGGCAGGGTCCCACAGACAGCTTGTTGTGTGACCTCTCAGCTCGCAGTATCCTTTCTTTGCTCTCTGCATCGTGAGAGAATAAATGTTCTCTTGAATCCATTAACTGTCCACCCCTCGCCCAGTGCTGTCATTACTCATTTCCGGGTAGCGGTGGTGATTTCCTGTTCAGGACGCCAGGTTTCTAAGCTGAGCTTGGACTCGGGGATTTTGGTTCCTCCGCCTGCTGCATTTGGGGTGGATCACGTTGTCTGCCGTGCCGTGTGCCACAACGCTCAAGTTACAGCCCGCATGCAGTAACCCCCCGATTTCGTTGCACCGCATTTTCTTTTGCTGGCTGACCTCGATTTTCTTCCCACAGCCACACAGCCCAAGCCTAATGTGAAGTAAACTGAGTGATCTCCCTTCTGGGGAGAGCCCCCCTGTCCATGCACCTTTAGTTTGGAATTGTGTGAAGACACACCAGATCATGGTGTCAGCCCAGGGCCTTGAGTATGGAGGAGTCTTTAACAGATTGTCTGCCGTCCTTGGGTGGGCTTCCCAGCCCTGCCTGCTACAGAATTTCAGCACACTGCTTTGCTGCTCAGGGGGCTCTCTTGTGTTTGACCTGACAACACAAAGGATGTGGCCCTGTTCAGGAGAATCCTAGGGAGACGTGTTATAAACACGTCGAACCGATGTTTTATTTATTTATTTATTTTTCCTCTACCTCTTCTTTTCCAAGGATGATCTTGAAAATGCCAAGTACATCTCTCGGTTGTTTGCTACACGGCACAAGTTTTACAAACAAAACAAAATCTGCACTGAGTAAGTAAGCATTCTGTCCACCTTCTCACTGGAGGGCTTGGCCAGATTAAATACGTGCGCTTTGGGGGTGCTGTAGATTGCATTTGCCCTTCACTCCTTCCCTCCTTCCTCGCGGGAGCTAAAGGGGTAAGCTGAATCCAGGCAGGAGGGAAAGAACTTTAATGACGAAGACGGTCTGGCGCAGTGCATGTGCCTGGAGAGAAAATAATTCACAAATTGACTGTGAGTGCTTGCCTACCTAGGCGGGTCGGCCCATATTAGCGCCTTTCCATCCTCTGCCATGAGTTTGGAGGAGCTGGCGGCTCCCAATTTGCCAGGGTGCCCCTCCGTGTCAGGTGCGGAGTATGTTCAGAAGTGTGTAACGGAGTAGCAAGCCAACTTGAAAGAAAAGAAGCTTCTGTCATCCTCAGCTCTGTTTCTCTTACACAGTTGGCTAACCCTGCGTGCGCTTCGGGGTCATGTCATCTACCTGTAAATGGGAGGCCAGGGTAATTAGAGGAAGACTTGGAAGACGCTAATAGATGTCATGAATCCATGTGTGTTTTTTCAATTTAATTTGGAAATAAAGACGATAAAGGGAGTCCAATACGGGAACTTAAATGTGACCTGACCTTGGATAGAGAGTAGCTGGACCTCACGCTATCATCGCCTTTAGTTTGGTTGCCATCAAAAGGTGTTCCTCAGCAGAGTACATTCAGCAGTTGGGGCGCCCTAGGTGCTTAATTGTGTTTCAAAGAATTCGGGGCTATAAATGCAAGAGAGGAGCTGCCTTTCCGTCCCCCCAGTGGACACATCCAAGAGGGTGAGACTATTGTCCCAGAGCAGTTCCTGCTGAAAATTGTGGCTGCTTTAGAACTGGAGCCTCAGGTCCTGACAGACTTTCTTCTCTACACGATGGAGGCTCTTTCAAACCAGTCGTTGCAATTGGTCACTGTTGGAGTCTGAAAGAGTAGTTGATAGTACTAGGCCTGCCAGCGAAGTTTGCAAATGTAAATCAGAAGGGCAGTGATCAGAGAGTGGCAAATCAAACAGCCGTAACTGTATGGGCATGCGCAGGCACGCGTGCATGCATACACACGCATGCGCACACACGCATGTGCCGTGCTTTTGAACAGATTCCTTATAGATCACTTCTGTGCGTCTGTTCTGCCGTTGCCTTTGATCTGTGGGGGTGTGTCTTTGACTTTAACAAGAATTCAATGGTTGACTTCTGGAGGGCAGATCAAAATCTGACCGTTTTAAGAAGTGAATTCCACTGTGGTCTTCTGGTTTGACCGTTTCTCCGCAAGTGGATTTCTTGTAAATTTTCGGAGTATTTTTATTTCTTTGGTGATCTACAAATACTAGTGAGCATCCCACATAAGCCTGAAAACTGAGGAAATCATGTCTTCCTTTCTACTTCTGTTATAACCATTCTTTTCCTGTTCCTAACCACATAGGGGATGTTCCTTATGTCTTATCTAGGCTCTCTAAGATGTACACACACACACACACACACACACACACACACACACACACACGCAGCTCATATACATAGTCAAAGGTGTATACGCATGCACATGCGCAGCATATACACAGTAAATTCCGTGTGTACTTTCAGGATCTCAGAACAGACTGCAGAGCTTAAGGCCTGGGATAACCCCCTGGAGTTTTATGAAACTAGTGTTTTTTTAACAGCGTCCTTCTCCAGAGGTTTCCACACCCTGACCGCGAAAAGACTATCATTGATTTTCATTTCATTTTGCTCACAGAGCTACTGCTTGTCATCTTCCCATAGAACTCTAGAGAGTGCTTCCATATTTCTTGATTTAAGGAGAAAAATTGCAGGGTGTGGGAAGAGTATTTAACCTTAAGTCTAATAATCTATTTGTCCAGTTAAAAAAAAAATATTCAGCATTACTGTTTCCATCACTTCATGAAAGAAAAGGTGTTTTATCACTAAAATGCTTTAAATTGAAGAATTCTAGCTTGATGGAAAACTCTACATGACCTGGGTTTTTTGTTTGTTTTTGCATTTTTATGAATTCACTGAGGACTAGGGAAAATGTCACTCTGGAATTTGAGACCCATTTCTCAATGACACCTTTGATTTCAGTGCTCAAGAATTTCTTAATACTCAGCCTCCATACATTTTTTTTTCTTTAAGTTTATTGATTTTTGGGCGAGACGGAGCATGAGTGGGGAAGGGGCAGGGAGACAGGGAGACACAGAATCGGAAGCAGGCTCCAGGCTCTGAGCTGTCAGCATAGAGCCCAACGTGAAGTTCAAACTTACGAACCGTTGAGATCATGACCTGAGCCAAAGTCGGATGCTCAACCGACTGAGCCACCCAGGCGCCCAATATTCCCCACACATTTTTATCTCTACATTAAAAAAAATTCACATCACTTCTCAGTCTGGAAAGAATCTGATTAGATAATTTGGCAGCATTTTAACAAATATATTTTTCTTTTGCTCTTTTTCATTATGAAAGATTTTACACATACACAAAGATACAAAGAATACAGTTTTTAAAAACCCATGTAATAATAGTGATGTTTTTCAGTCTTGCTCATTTCTTTTATGATATTTCTTTGAAAATAAGAAATTCTTCTGTGAAACTTAATATCTAATAATCATGTGCTCTAAACATTTTGAAAATAAAAGGATAAGAAAAGAAATAAAAAATTTTCATAGCCTCTCCATTCAGAAATACATGTTTACATTTTGCTGTGAATTACTTAGCTTTCTTGTCTATTTCCCCCATTACCCCCGTCTTGTCAGTCTGTCTGATCATCATGTGTCTAATAAATATAATGACTCTTCTCATTTTTTTAATTTTTCCTGTAGACAGTCAAATTCTCCACCCCCCATCAGACGCCAGCCCACTTGGAGCCGATCCTCTCTGGTATGTAGAAAGTCTTCAGGAATCAAATGGTCTGATAGTTGGGGGGTGGAATGTCCTTGTGTTGCTAAATTGAAACATGACTAGGGCATCATGACCAGGTGAGATCAGATAAAAACACAGAAGAGCATCAGTCAGGCCAAGCAATTGTGATGAACATTCATGTTTCATTGATGCCCCATCATGTGGGACATCCATGTGCTCATCCACGGCCATCATTTCTTGAAGTGTGGCTCAAGGTTCACTCCTTAAGAATAAGTCTTAAGGCTGATGAGACCATGCTTCTTCAGCGTGCAGCCTCTTGTGTGTGTTTGCCCATTTGCTCATTTGTGGTTTTATCACTCTTTCTGGTTGTTATGTACACACACATCTTCAGTCACAAGCTCCACAAATTCTTTCGTATTCGTCACCATAGATAGTTCTTAATAAACTGGTCAGAAATTACTTTTTGAATGAACCAAATTGAATGAGTTGAGTTGATGGTCTCATGTTAGGGTATTTGGTGGGGAAGATTAATTATACATCTTCTAATGTAAAGACCAACAAAATCGATCTATCTACTGAGTTGATCTACTTTTCTAACATTTACTTTTTTCATTTTTTAAAAAATGTTTCGTCTTTTTTTTTTTTTTTAAATATTTTTATTTCTAGGAGAGAGAGAGAGAGAGACAGCGTGAGCAGGGGAGGGTCAGAGAGAGAGGGAGACGCAGACTCTGAAATAGGCTTCAGGCTCTGAGCTGGCAGTCAGCACAGAGCCCGACGCGGGGCTCGAACCCACGAACCACGAGATCATGACCCAAGTGAAAGTCGGACACCCAACCGACTAAGCCACCCAGGCGCCCCTGTTTCATCTTCTGAACAAGGAAACACAACTCTAATTTCAATACTTATGTTCTGTCTTATGGTGTGTTTTATTTTGAGGATTACTTTAGGATAATAGCATAGAAAGATGCAGGAAAGTTGGCTTCTTTTAAAGTATCTACTTGTTTTAAGTCATAATTCTCAGATTTTGGGTTATCATGTCTGACACAAAATCCAAATAAACATGTGACCTTTAAAATTTTCTAGGTGAACATTTCCTTTGAGTTGATAGAATAAAATTGAATTTTCCTTCATACACAGGGTATACCTATAGAGCATCTTGAACTTGTTTTTCAAAAGGAAAGTTTTGAGGACTTTTTTTTTTTTTGGTCTGGAAAAGGCATAGACAGTGAACTCTTAGAATTCTAGAGTTGGACATTACGTCATCACATTCCTGAGTACCCGCATGAATATTATTAATCTCGATGTCATGCATTAAATCTCACAAGTGGCCCTTGCCTTGGAGATCTAGAGGATAGAGGGTCATGTTGGGCTTTTCCCTTGTGGCCTCGATAGATTTGTCCATGGCACTGGTGTCTTTATCCTTCTCCTTTTGAATATTATTTTTTCTTTAGACTCCACATGTCTTCATTAGGGAGATGATTTTTCACTTATGTTCATGAAACACCATGGAAGCAAAGTATGTTAAAGCTGTCTTGCGATTTGATCTCATCCTAATTATCTGGAGAAGATAAAGAGGTTTTCCTATTTTATCTGGATGAAGACAGTCTGCAGGAAGCCAAGTTCAAGGCTTCTCCCTTCCTTTTACCCTAAGGGTAAAACCGTATTACCAGGAGTCCCCTGGGAGGAGTGACATGGTCTCTTTTTGGCCTCCTTGCTGAGAACCAGGACTGCTCTTTTCTCTTGCCCTTCTGCTGCCTATGTTATGGCATCTACTTGTTTCTATATTAGCAAGTCTGGAAAGAAATATAATAATGTGCATTATATTATATATAATTTCATAGATAGATAGATGCACATAATATAAAGAGACGGAATAAATAATATCCTGAAATGGTATTTGGAGGATTAGCTATTCTTGTCCTTCGCTGTGTACTTAAACCAATTCATAAAGTCACTTACTTCATTGGATTTTTTTTTAAACTAGAGCAAGAGAAGGCAGTGAGCCAACTTTACCTTACTGTGCATTTCTATTACTTCCCATGAATCCCTCCCCACTGGTTCTATTTTTTTGTTTTAAGCCTCAAACCTGGCTGTCCTACACTGAAAAAAGTGAGTTGAATTATGTATTACAAGAAGAGGAAAAATATTTTAAAATTGGAATTCATAAACCAGCCAAAGAGGGAGGGGAGAACAGCCAAAGGGAATATTTAGAAAAGCTGATACAGCACCTTTCCTTGGTACCATGAACTCCTTTCTTAGATTAATTTCAATTCCCTATTTCTTCTTTCTTGACTTTTTAATTTTTGGATCCCTTATCTTTATTACCTTCTTTATGTGCCCTTTTGATGCTTAAGCATTATTTGTGGCGGAGGAAATGGCAGATGAGTTATTTGCCCTGCTTCAAATTTTGCCAAGTCCTTGTCCCTCTATTGAGGGACACTGAGAAAGTGTGACTGACCCCTGCTGGCTTTGGGTGTTTTGGCTTGATCTCAGCCTCTCCTAAAGCAGTAACATTTAAACCAGTATCTATGAGGCTAATTTCAAAATAATCAAATGGAGATATAACATACCCTATTTGGTGGTTTACAGGCTTAAAGTGTTTTAAAGATTTTTTTTTAAGAATCAAAACTTTTTCCTCAAAGAAGCTGTCACTTGGAATCCCAGTATCTAAATAAAATAAATATTGTTGGTGCTAGGGGGAGGGAAGAGGCCCGATTCACTTGACAGGAAGCTGAGCTGTACTCAGGCTCAATGATTTGCTGTGGCTCACATAAGCGACTAATCATATTTCCTTTGTTGGCCCACCAAATATTGAACCGATCTGAGCTTTTTTTTTTTTTTCACCTCTGAAAGTTTTATTCTCAGCCAGAAGTTATTCGGGTTGGTTCTAAATAACCATCTTGAAGGAGTCTCTTGGAAAAGATTTTCCCCTGAAGGATTCCCTGCAAGACTTTTCCACATTGGGTTCTGCAAGGGGAGGGGCCATAACCATCTTGACAACCACACGCGTATTGTCGCGGATCACCTTCCACATTTTTATATAGATTTGCAACTGGACCCCGCTTAACACCACCCCTGTCCCTCTTGGGGGTTGATGTGTACACTGGGGTCATAGGTGCAGCCGATATTGATTAGAATGAAGCAGAGTTTCCCCTGATTGTCATTATTTCTTAGCTAGAATGTAATGAATGTACACGTTCTGAGTTAATTCCTTTTAAAAAGACATTGGGAGTTTTGCAAGCATGTCAGGAAAAAGACTAAATATTAATCATAGCTTCGTCACCTTTCTCACCTTGAACCAGCTTCCTTACTTCCCTCTGTTTCTCCAGTCCTAAACTTAGTGATGAGTTGGGGGTACAGATGAGTCAGAGAGGGATGAGTCAAGGGCGGACCGACCGAGTGGCCACAGTGTGCTTCCCTGCAGACGTGGGTGAATGATGGGTTGTCGAGTGCCTGGGCTGGGGCCCTGGGGGAGTCCGCGGCCTTTTGTGGCCCGGCCTTCCCACCTGTGCTGTGTTCTCTGTTTCAGCCCCGACAGCAGCCGTACATCTTGCCTCCCATGCACGTCCAGTGTGGTGAACACTACTCGGAAACACACACCTCACAAGGTAACCGTGGCTTGCCGTTTTCCCTTCTTGAGACGAAAAGTCGAGTACCTGTCAACAGTGAAGAAGATTTTTTATTTCTTAGACAACAGTGATACTTTTGTTTTAACTTTGTCGTTGTCTGCATGGCAGCAGGCAGCAGTTTCGATTTGTGAAAGGCATAGAATGTCGTTTGCCCCCGAGAGAAAAATGTTTCCAGACTTGGCTGCCAAGGGAGTTGAGAGAAGGCAGGGAGCAAGTTCCTTCTCTCCTCCCTCTGGTAAGTGGGCTTGGAGAAGAGGGAGGGACAGTGAGCCCCATGGAATACTCTCCACCCTCGTGGCCAGTGTCAGAAACTAGAGAATACAGAGAAAATAGGCATCCAGAATACTTAAAAGAAAGGCACAAATAATCTCAACTCCTCTTTTTAACTATTGCCTGCCATTTCTCTGTGCACTGGTTCTTGAATCGGTTTTTTATTCCTCTTTTTCTCCCAGAACACTCCCATGCCAAATGTGTGAGAAAATCCATCCTAAGAATAATGATTCTAATAATAACAATTACCATTTATAGAGCAATTCCTCTCCCTAAGCACTGTGCTAAGCCCTTGCACCGTATTGTTTCGTTTAATCTTCAGAATAAACCCACACGATAGGTACTGTTACTGTTTCCATTTTACAGAAACAGAAAGTGGGACGCAGAAAGGGTATTGGAGGAACTTGAAGGTGAAAAATGGAATCATGACTCTTGAGTGCCCTTCAAGGGCCCTTCAGTGCCCTTCATCATTACACTAACCGCATCTCAAAAAAGGAATGATATTAAACTTGGGTGTTGGCAGTATGCTAAATGGATAATGAGTTTCTGTGTCACCATAGCCTGGCTGTTTAGAATCTCTGTACTGTCAGAGTGTGAGTATGGAAACTAAGATAGTCAAGACTATTTAATAAAATACTGTTTTTTCTAAGTAGATGAGCAAAGTCACCCTGCTTCTGTGGGAAAGCCCCAGAGCCCACTAGGGGTGGAGAGGTGGCACACCTTTGTCCCTGTGTTTTGCTAGTTTTTCTTGCCTATCTCATCTCATCTGGTCTGTGAGCACAGTTCTCACCTGCGATGTGAGCACACACTCCTCTTCAGGCAACTGAGTGTTTTCAGTCACCTTTTCTGGTTGGTGGGTTTTGGTTTTATCTTTTGCCTTTCTGCGCTGTCTTCCTCTACTTTGCTCATGCTTAAATCCATAGTGTGAAAATGATGGTCTTTGCTCACTAGAAAGTGTTTGGGCAAGAGGGTGCCTTCCTAAGGGTGTGTGTGTGTGTGTGTGTGTGTGTGTGTGTGTGTGTGTGTTAAAGGGAACCATGGATACCTGGTATGGGGCTGATTTCAGCAATCTAGTCTTTATCTCTTTAGGAACCTCCTTAAACTATTAATTTTAATGTGAATTGACCTCAGACCTCAGTAATGAGGCCAGTTCTAGAGGAGAGTTTTAGGCAGTGGCTAAAAGAACTCGCGGTTCTGATTTTGCCCTCCGTTGGTTGCTGGTCAGAACCCCCTAGCTATGCATGCTGACATCCTGCCTGCATCACTGGGCTTGTGTCTTTATGCATGCTCAGCAGTTCCCCAGGGCAGGGGACCTTTTCCATTGCTGTCAGGAACATAAGCTCCAGGTGTCAGTAACTTCAAATCTGTTGCCCTATTAAAGTTGACTTTCTAGTCCTTTTGCTGGAGCCTGGACAAGAAGACAGGTTTACCCAACATGAGGGCCATTGCTGGGGCCTGATTTCAGAGTTCTTGGCAAATGGAGAACTTACCCAGGTGATAACTATTTCAAATGTGCCTAGCTTTCTTTGGTTAGATTCACTTTGTCTTCTCAGTATGCTTTCTGGTGTTGTTTCTGTATGTTGGCATCTTGCCCACAAGTTACCAGTTTTTTCCATAGACTATGTAGGTGGGAGACCATAGGATCTCACTTTTAATGACTCCTGAAAATCACGCCTGTGAGTGTGAAGATGAACTTGATTGTAGCAGGATGATGTAGATGTTCATGTGCCCTTGTTTGGTTTCTTGTAGACAGCATTTTCCATGGCAATGAGGAAGCTTTGTATTGCAACTCTCACAACAGCCTGGACTTAAATTACTTAAACGGCACTGTCACCAACGGCAGCGTGTGTAGCATGCACAGCGTCAACTCCCTCAGCTGCTCCCAGAGTTTCATACAGGCTTCCCCTGTGTCCTCCAACCTCAGTATCCCCGGGAGCGACATCATGCGGGCTGACTACATCCCTAGCCACCGGCATAGTGCCATCATTGTGCCATCCTACCGGCCGACCCCCGATTATGAGACAGTCATGCGGCAGATGAAGAGGGGGACCGTGCACGCCGACAGCCAGAGCCAGTCTCTGCGGAACCTCAGTATCATCAACACGCATGCCTACAACCAACCGGAGGATCTGGTGTACAGCCAGCCCGAGATGCGGGAGAGGCCCCCCTACACGGTCCCTTACGGGCCGCAGGGAGGCTACAGTAACAAACTCGTCAGCCCGTCTGACCAGATGAACCCAAAGAATAACATGGTGCCGAGCAAGCCGGGGGCGAGTGCCATCTCGCACACAGTGAGCACCCCCGAGCTGGCCAACATGCAGCTCCAAGGTACCCAGAACTACAGCGCGGCCCATATGCTCAAAAACTATCTCTTCCGGCCACCGCCCCCCTACCCTCGGCCGCGCCCTGCCACCAGCACCCCAGACCTCGCGAGCCACCGTCACAAGTACGTCAGCGGTAGTAGCCCTGACCTGGTGACCCGCAAGGTGCAGCTCTCGGTGAAGACCTTCCAGGAGGACAGCTCCCCCGTGGTGCACCAGTCTCTCCAGGAGGTGAGCGAGCCCCTCACGGCCACCAAGCACCATGGCGCGGCGAATAAGCGCCACAGCCTGGAGGTGATGAGCAGCATGGTGCGCGGCATGGAGGCCATGACCTTGAAGTCTCTCAACATCCCCATGGCTCGCCGAAACACACTCCGCGAGCAGGGGCCGCCTGAGGAGGGGCCGGGGAGCCACGAGGCTCACCAGCTGCCCCATTACCACCACCAGAAGACTCTCTCGGATGCCACCATGCTGATCCACAGCAGCGAGAGCGAGGAGGAGGAGGAGGAGGCCCCGGGATCGGTGCCCCAGATCCCCACGCTGCGGGAGAAGCTGGGGTACAGTGCCCAGCTGCAGGCAGCCTTGGCCCGAATCCCAAACAAGCCCCCGCCCGAATACCCCGGCCCAAGGAAGAGCGTCAGCAACGGGGCCCTGAGGCAAGGCCAGGTCAGCCTGGCTCCTGCCGCCGCCAGGGCCAGGGTCCTGAGGCACGGGCCGGCCAAGGCCATCAGCGTTTCCCGGGCTGACCAGCTGGCCGTGGCTGGGCCTTCCCTCGGTCCGTCCATCTCCGAACCCGACCTGACAAGCGTGAAGGAACGGGTCAAAAAAGAGCCTGTGAAGGAGAGACCGGTGTCTGAGATGTTCTCCCTGGAAGACAGCATCGTAGAGAGAGAGATGGCCATCAGGGTAAGTGTCCCTCTCTCCACGGCAGTGTTCAGGGGACGCGTAAACACACAGCCACCTCCCCGCAGCCTCTCTGCTCCTTCTCCATGACCTTCTGTTTCAAGTATAAAAGCACAAGTGCTCTAGTCTCTGAAGAAGGTGCAACGCTTATTCAGGGCATCTGTTAGGGAGCTAGACAGTTGGCATTTAAACACGTAGTATTTTATTTCACAGAACCTTGGTTTTTTACCCCTTCAGCTAAATCTTCCGTTTTCATTCATGGCTTCCAATTGGTACACATGGCACAAGGCGCCGTGATGGGGTTAGGATGCTGCAGGTTGGCTGTCGGATCAGCCTCTAGGCCGGTATCGGGCTGTTATTCGGGGTCAAACTTCCTGCTGTGTGAGCAGCTAGGAGCTCTCCTTCCCATGTCTCTTGTTCAGTTTTTTACGGGGAAGCATTTCCCCCTCAATTTGATAGTAGAAAAGCAACATCCCTTCAGAACACAGCTTTGTGTGGGTGCCTGTCAGGATGGCCCCCTGACATTGAGCGGACCGTGATGTGTGCAACTGTGTTTTTAGATTTTCTTTCAGTAGATGTTTATAGTAAACTTGGAAGTCCACCATTGAGCTTCGGTTCCCCATTAAGCTCATTCTATCAAAATTCACACACACGCATGGGAACACACATATAAACACACCTATAATATTTGAAGATGCCTGACATCAGACATAAGTAACTCTTACTCAGGATGTGTACCAGCTGGGGGGGCCGAGTAAGTTGCCAGAGTGTGTAGGTAACAGCTGCACACACAGAACAGCAAAGCGAATTTGCTCCTGCTAATGAGAACATTGCTAGATTATAGTTGCTACTTTAAAACCTATTTCAGAATGCCATTCCTGCTTGTTCTGGACATGTCACAACCTCAAAAAATAAAAAAAAATAAAAATCATTTCATTTTATTACAATGAGTCATGCCCTGGTTGACTCCTCCCCCGTGGGCACCCCGTCTCTGCCGTCGGGTCGCTGCCACTCAGCCACTCCAGAACAGCTCTAAGTGAAAATTTGCTCTGTTGGGAGTTCTTAGACTCCCTTCCTTTTACAAGTCTCCCTGCACCACAGTGGTAATCAAGCTGAAGAGAACAGTCAAGGGCCCACAGTTTTAAAGAGGGCACATTTGTGGGTTCAGGACTCTAAACCACAGCACCTTTATTACTTCACACAACTTTCAGAACATTCCCGGCAGCACTGTTTTGGCCACTAGTGGAGCCTGCGCTAAGGATCTGGTGCAGGCGTTAACTTTTTCCACTTTTTGCAACTGTAGAGGAAAGTCATAAAAGATGTACTTATGCCTCCCCGGCCAACATAACTGTCGGGCTGGCGGATGGAATGAAACGCGGGGGTGGCGCCACGGGAGACCTTTCCCAGCTTGGAAAAAGTCATGCTTGGGTAGAAACAGATTTTCAGCACATCTTGGCCGCAGGCCCCTTGACCACAGCTCATAAGCCTGTCAGCCCAGGCATCTGGCTTCGCTGTTTCCCCTGCCCACTTGACGTGTGTCGCCAGCCGCGTGGTCCCATAGCCTCCCGTCGGTCATCTTCATCCTCACCTCTTGTCGCCTGGGTTCAACAGAGCCCTGTATCCAGACCCATGGCCTTGGCTCCCTGCGTAGAGCTTCACAAAGAAGCAACGGGGTTTCCACTGTGTTTCCCCCTTGTTCCCCACCCCATCCATATGGATAATAGCGAGTAGCTGATTCCACCCCTTCGCTGTAGTTCAGGATCATTGTTACCCCATCCCTACTTCACTCTCCCGTTGATTTATTATTATTATTATTATATGTACTCAGAAGCTCGGGGCCTGCTACCCTTGTCTGATGTCTTGACCTTAGAGAAGGACTAGGAGGTTCTTCAGGGAGCAATGTGCCAGCGAGATGGCGATGGTGCCAGTGCCTCTGAAGGTTGGGACGGTTTACCATCTGCTTTGTAATGAAGAACCCGTCCCCCCATGCCCTTCCCACATCTCAGATCCTCCTCTGCCCTCCCCACCATAGGCAGCTTTTGCCTGGCTTGTTAGGAATGGGTAAGGATGGAGAAGGCTGTCCAGGCCTCTCTAGGATAAGAAAAGAGTGAGAAAATTTGACCAAATGGGAACCGGAGCGGGGCAGGTATGGTGAGAATGTGCCCTGCGGGCGGCTCCCCGAGATGTTGGAGCCACTCATCTATTTGATGGATGATTCAGGCCTGTTGCAGTGATGGCTTCTCCTTCTGGCCCCTTCTGCTGCCTTGGGGACATTTCAGTGTTTGTAGTGCCTGAGCCTGAAAGCAGGTGCCAGGAAAGAGAAAAGGCCAAATCAGAGTTTTGAGTGACTTGTTATCTCTGGTAACACGTGAGAAGGAACTCAGAGAAATGGTTTATCACTGGGGTTTCTGTTCCCACCAGGGCCCTAGTAATCTTTTCCTGACAAAGACAAGTTAGTTACTTTTTGCCTTAGGCCCAGTGAGTGGCACCTGAGGGTACAGGTGGGAAGGAAGCAGTGGGATTATCTGGAGGACCCAGGAGACATTTTTTCCAAAATGATTGTTTTTCTGAGAATTTTGCAGAGGGAAACATTCCCGTGAAAGGAGTTAACGTGGAGGAAGAGAGAGGGGAGTATTTCTCACAAAAACAGGCTGATAAGCAAGCAAACAAGCAAACCCCCCAGATTTAAATCTGAAATCTTCAGAATCTTCCTGGGATTGAGAAACCGGGGCCAGCCCCTTGGCTGAAGGTTAATCGACACTTCCCTCATTTGCCACAGTTCATCTTCTTCTGAGATGCTCCTTTAGTTTGATGGGTCGACCCTGTCACTGAATGAAGCATCTTAGTGACAGCCATCACTCCCTTCTGACCACAGGTGGCATTGAGGGGCTGACGGGACACATGTAGGCTTGTAATGCCAGCCGGTCCCCCCACACTTAGGGTAATCTGCCATGTGCCACCCCATGACTCCATCGCCACGCCTCTCTGGGGAGCAGATTGATAGATGAGAAACTAAGAAACGAAATTACCTAAAGCCCTGAAAAGAAACCAAGGGGATGATGACCCCTTCCCCTGGGGAAGCCAAAGGAATCTGCAAAGTGGTTCCACTTCTGTTAGGATCAGAATCTTGACTCCTCCACGTGTGTGCCTTAGGAAGTCCCTTTCTCCTTCTGTCTTCTAAGATGCAGTTGTTTTGGGGAGTGCTCTGCCTGGCTTGTCTGAGGACAGAGAGATTTCTTTCGCACCTCGGTCAGCTCAGAGGGTGCAAGGAACCACGGCAGGACACCTAACAGCGGGAACCTTGACTGGTCCCCGTTTCAGAGTATTGGTGCAGGTGAGAATGGAGAGGAAATCAAAACCCCACAAACAAGGGCCACATGTTAACATCCAGCCTTTTCCCTGCGTGGCGCACCCGCCCCCAAATCCACATTCTCCCACAGCGGAGTCACGTCCAGTAATGTCCCATCGTGGTCATTGAGAGACATGGTGCCCATTCCTTTGGTCCCTCTGGATGCAGTGTGAAGGGTTATGCCTCATGGATCCTGGTAGATGACCATAGACTTCGGTGTTGGCAAGTCGGGGGGTGATTTCCCAGGGACCAGAGCTTTACTACAGGATTGACATTCTCCATCTCAGCCTCTCAGAATGGAAATTTGGGAAGGTTTCCCTTCACGGTTTATACATCTGGATTTCTTAACAAGGCAACAAACAATGTTTATACGTTTTTAATCATTTAGTCTGTATAAAAGGTCCATCATTGTGATCAGATTGGACTTTTTATGAAACTGTTTCTCATTCCCTTGTCCTGTCTTCCTTCAGCCCTTATCTTCCTGAAGTGTCTTGCTTGTGCTCTGTTTTGCGCCTTTTTGCCAAATGGCCAGGGGTATTCGAATGAGGTCTTTGCTCTTACTCGTTTGTTTGTTAGTTCATTCATTCATCCATTTTTAGATAAAAGCTAAAAGGAATCCCAGAGGAACTGGCTTCTTCAGGCCCAGTGGGAATAATGGGAAGGCTGTGTTTGAATGTGCCCTACTAATGGTGATTGTCTGCATTCCTTGGCTGGGGAGTTACAGATTTGGGGAGATTAGAACAATTCCAGCATTCTACTCATACTATAAACAATGAGAACATGCCTTTTCTTGCCGCAAGAATCTAGAGAAGCAGAAGATGGCAAGCCTGGAGGCCCAGAAGCGGCCGCTCATGTTGGCAGCGTTGAATGGACTCTCAGTGGCCCGGGTCTCGGGGCGGGAAGAGAGCCGAGCGGATGCTACCCGAGTACCCATGGACGAGAGGGTAAGCGCTGGGCTTGTCAGGCGTGTGATTCATTCTCTGTGGTCTTGGGATTCCACTCATCTCTCCTTGCCCAAACGTGCCAGCACGAAGGTTTGTTTGATGAATTAATTTTCTCATTTGAGATTAGCAAGACCCAGTGTGCATTGTATTAATTAAATTGATTCTCTCCAGCATCTCAAGTTTCCTTGTCAAGTCGATGCAGCGATGGCTGTGTAACGGGACCAGCCCCTGACAAGCCACATGGCCTTGGTTGAGTCACCCCGTTTCACTGGGCCTGTTTCTGTTTTTGCAAAATTAAGCAATTGCTGTAGCTTTCGATATCTGAATTTTGTGAACCATTACCCTCTCTTAGGGAGTGACTATCTTACCCAAGCATTTACAGAATTTTTTAAGATATACTGTCCCCTTCTTTGGTTATAAAACATGACTGATGGATAATTCTCAGGATAATGCATTGTGAGAACTTTGGTTTTGAAAAGCTGGAAGAAGCTGCCTGGTAGTATTTCAGACGTGAAGAAACTTGTTGCTTTTGTTTCTGAAACTACTTTTTGCTTAAGAAACGTGTAAATTTAATTTCTTTTTAATTTTTTAAATTTATTTTTGAGAGACACAGAGTGCAGGCAAGGGAGGGGTAGAGAGAGACACACACACACACACACACAGAATCCAAAGCAGGCTCCAGGCTCTGAGCTGTCAGCACAGAGCCTGATGTGACACTCAAACTTGCGAATCGCGAGATCGTGACCTGAGCCAAAGTTGGACGCTTAACCAACTGAGTCACCCAGGTGCCCCTATGTGTAAATTTATTTGAGTGCTGGTACATTTGGAGTTTAGATTTCTGCCAGTGTACGTGAAGGATTAGAAAGATTTTAAAGGCAGGAGGGACTTTAGAGGAATCACTAAATCCAGTTAATACCATGTTATTGTAATTAGTAGTTTGGCCATGGGAAAAATAAAAGACCAGCTCTCATCCTCAAAACTAGATAACTGTGGACCAGTATCATCGTAAATTTAGCTCAGTAAAAACAGCTCTGGAGGTGGAGAAAAGGATGTGTGGGTAATTAAGATAAACAATCTTCTTATCACTGGACTTTAAACAGAGGGTTTGGGTAACCTGGGTGGCTCAGTCAGTTGAGCATCTGACTTATTTCAGCTTAGGTCATGATCTCACAGCTCATGGGATCAAACCCTGCATCAGGCTTTGTGCTGACAGCAGAGCCTGCTTGGGATTCTCTCTCTCCCTCTCGCTCTCTGCCTCTACCCCACTTGCGCTCACTCCCCCTCTCTCAAAATAAATAAATAAACATTAAAAAAAAAATAAGCAGAGGTGTTAAAAAGAAAAACACTGAATTTGAATTTCAGCCCTTGCCTGGCCTTAATGACTGGTTCTGTTTAAGATATGAATTAGAAGGAAATTGGTTACTGGGCCAGAGGAACTAGCAAAATGGTTGACAATGAGGCCAAATAATCAAGCGTTCTTTGTACCTCTTGAAACTTGAAAGAAATCTGATTTGTTGGGGTTTTTGGATAAGATAATCCGGAAAGCTGAAGATCAATTTCTGTTGCAGTTCAGAACCCTGAAGAAAAAGCTAGAAGAGGGAATGGTGTTCACAGAATATGAGCAAATTCCAAAGAAGAAGGCGAATGGCATTTTCAGCACCGCAGCTCTACCGGAAAATGCTGAGCGAAGCCGCATCCGCGAAGTCGTCCCTTATGAGGAGAACAGGGTGGAGCTGGTACCGACCAAAGAAAATAACACAGGTTACATTAATGCCTCCCATATCAAGGTGAGAAGGGGAGCGGGCTGGGAAGGTGTGTTGCCGATCGCTGGCTTAGAGGTAAAAATGCAGGGAGAAAAAACTGTACTCTCCAACTGAGCATCTTGGCTTACCCCCAGCCCCCGAGGGAGTGTTTTTGAACGCCTGTGCTTCTCAGTCAACTGAAGGCTATGCCTCTCACTGCAGAGACCAGGAAGCCCAGTAGCCTCTGGGAAAACCTTAGATTGGCTATTTCTGAAACCTGCTTACCCCTGAGGATTTAACTTTCTCTTCTCTCTGCGAGTTATGACTCTTCCTAACGCTCACAGGAGAAGCCGAGGATTGTCCTTTTCAGTCTATAACTGGCACGTGATGGAGACATTGGAAGTCACAGTCATTGAAGTTTCTGTGATACTCAAGAGCAGTGGAAACTTATCCAGTTCTCCCTTGAAACACTACAGGTTATGTGTTACCCAGCTGAAGTCCCAAATCTGCGTGTTATTTAGAAGAGTGGACTCATTTGAATGCAGCCGTAAAGGTGTGGTTGATATTGAAGCTTAAAAGATTGCTGCATCATTCAGTGCAGTGAATATCATTAAATTTTTGTCAGTATTGCAAACTTTCATATCTCAGTATTTCGTCGACTTTAAAATTAGCTTAGCTCGGCACCAGCTAGAATTTAGAGGTATAGATGCACGTGTATATATGGTTAAATGTTTTCTAAATGGCTTACCTTCCCCAGTCTTCCTAGTAACAGAACATATTCGTTTAAAATGTCACTGTTTGATCTGACCCCCAGAATAGGAGCATTTATTCATATGCTAATATTAAAACAATTGTTACAGGATGTTTTTAAATCATACATGGTCCATGTGAATAGTCTTTTATGATCATAACCTTAGAAATCTGTTTTTGGCCTTGTTCCGAGTCATTCCTTTTCTTCATCAGACTCTCCAAATGTAGCTGAATTTTTGGGAGATTCCTTTGAGCCTCTGAAATACAGCCAGATGTCTGGCCCATGTGTCAGTTACAATAGTTTCAGTACAGAATCTGAAAAGTAGACTGTGGTTGGATGTAGGGTTTTTGTACACAGAGCGTAGATAATTACATATATATATTTTTTAAGTACCAGAAAGTACTGTCAAAAAATGTGAAAGAGTAACTATCATGGATCACATTGGGTATCTTATTGTAATTTTCGAGAGTGAGAACTAAAACTATAAAACTGAACCTCAGGAAACTCTCGAGTAAGCTGATGATGGTCAGTGTCATGAACTTAATTGAGATTATGAAATGATGACCAAAAGAATGCACTCAAACTAAGATGCAAATCACACAGCTGCTCCCTGAGAGAACGTCTATGGACTGTCACCCACTATATCATACCATCTTCTCCTTTTGGCCAGATAGCCGCCACCATTTTCCATCTGCTCTCTGGAAAAGCTGTCACCCTGCTTCAGCTGTGCCCATTGGGTATTGTTAACAGAAGCATTCCCTTCCTCAGTATCCCCCAAGGCTTACATTTCATCTCGTGGATCCGGGTCAGACATGGATGCACTTAATAGACCCATAGAGCTTGCAAGGACTTGTCCTTATGTTTTTGGAATTGAGTTGCATATCTTGCCAATGCTTTCTCCCTGGGTTCCAAGCAGCTATTAACACAGAACAGAGATTTATTTGCTCCAGAGGTAGAATCATCACATCTGTGAAATATACCTCCGTAGCATTGGCTGTTGTGTTTTTAATGCAGTTTTTAATACCCTCCTGTCGATACTTGGGATCTGCTGAAAGGCCCCAGGCAGCAGCATACTCAGGAAGTATTTATGGTTCCTATATGTTGGGTGCCAGAGAGGCTAATGTTTAAAATCACAATTCCACAGATACATGAAACTCCTAGCCAGCCAGCCAGTATATGAATGTTATCTCCCCCGGTACTTGGAAAATGGATTTTGCTTGCCAGCTTTGACCTAAACATAAACATGTCTTGTGTAACGAGACAATAATTGACATTGTTTTTGTTTGACTCAAGTTAGTATATAGTTTCAAAAAATAAACGAGGAGAAAAAGTTTCAAACAATGATCACTTCATGCCCCAAGAACTATCGAGATTTGCACTGGTGGATGGATAAGGAGGCCTGACTTGGCCATAACATCAAGGCACAGGAATGGGAAGGAACACAGAAAGAGTGCCTGCAAAGGACACGATGTCACCCTCACGGTATGCCCATCAGCATTTCTGGGCACCACTTCTTATTCACGATCCTCTGCCACTGGTATTTATAGCTGCAGAATTACCCTCCCAGGATTGCCCTGAGCTGCATGGACTAATAATGTCATTATCCGAAATCATCTCATGACGCCAAAGTTTGGTTGGATACTGTGGTACGGCACAAGGGGAAGTTCATAATCAAATATCCCATATTGTTGATTGAAACCCATTCACAACACCTCTGCCGTATACTATACCACAGAATAGGAGGGACAACAGAAGTTAGTGACACAGTTCATAGCAGCTCATTGGTACAAAGACATTGCTTCTAAAGGGATGTCATTCGTGGCATAGTTTTGTTGTGGTTGCTATTTAAAAGGATGCCACAGAGGGGTGCCTGGGTGGCTCAGTCGGTTAAGCACTCAGTTGGTTAAGCGCCTGACTCTTGGTCTCAACTCAGGTCATTGATCTCACAGTTTGTGAGTTCAAGCCCCTCATTGGGCTCTGTGCTGACCGTATGGAGCCTGCTTGGGATTCTCTCTCTCCTTCTCTCCCTCAAAAAAATAAAATTTAAAAAAATGATAAGAAAAAACTAAAAGGATACAGAACGTACTGTCCCTCCAACAATGGACCGCAGTATAATAGCTGGGTGTGAAATCAGTCTAGTGATGAGGACCGGTTTGGGTTTGTGAGTGTGTATGGGTTTAATGAAATGGACTAGAATAGAGAGGAGAAAAGAATAGAGGTTATCAGAGTACGTTGCACATAGTGACTGTAAGTATTGTTTTTGTAACACTTAAGTAAGTTCTGTTAGGTTATATACACCCATATTGCCATGTAATGTGTGTATGGGTGGGTGCAGACTGTATATTTTTAACATGCACTGGTTGGTATATAATTACTGCAACTGGCAGGCAAAAAAAAAAAAAAAAAAAAGAAAAGAAAGAAAGATTAGGTGCATTTTAATAGTCTTGAGTGACAAAAAGTGTTGTCACATGAGAATGTGTCACCAAGGTTTTTGATAATGACACTAACTCATTTGGCCTAAAAGGTATTACCCAAGGTTCTCAGATAGATACAAATGGACGCATGGCCACCAGACAATGCTGTCCAGGATCTGGGGTTCTTTCACTGATGCTTTCTTTGGTTTCCAGGTGGTGGTTGGCGGGGCAGAATGGCACTACATAGCCACTCAGGGGCCCCTGCCACATACCTGTCACGACTTCTGGCAGATGGTGTGGGAGCAGGGAGCGAACGTGATCGCCATGGTGACTGCGGAAGAGGTAAGGGGCCTGGCCACACAGCCCCCTGTTCCCGAGGGAGGGGTGGCCAGGAGATAGGCTCCGTATCCGCTGACCTTGCTGTCCTACAACAGCGTTTCTCTGCAAACCCTTTTCTTTCTGGCATTCTCGATTTCTTCTATTTCCCAAGATAACTTATCGTTGTATCCTATCTTCATCCAGCTTCTCAACTCTCTTCCTTAGATTGCCATCCACTAAAATCAATCAAACAAACAAGAACGAAACTTGAGTTCGGCTCACTTTTATGTGCCAAGCAAAGCAATGATCTTTCCCCTGGAATCTGAGTGAGAACTTCGGGCTGCTGTGGGCAAAGCGGCACATACTCCCAGCCTCGGTGGTGGCCAGCTCCACACCCCTTCGTGCTTATCAGCTGCAAAGAGACCAGAAGCTGTTGTTCTGGAGAGGTCTCTATTCTTTGGAGAGAGGGGGAGAAAAAAATCTTTTTGTTCCTTGACCAAGTCAAACATAGTTTTTCTGTTGTAACCAGAGAACTCTACGTGGTGTTGTGAAAACCAGCACACACCACCGGCTGGTCTAGCAGTTTGCTTGAGGCGGGCTGTCTTCGGGGGAAAACGTTTTGTGTTGCTTCTCTTGTCATATTCTCAATTTTTCTTAGTTTTAACCGCCTCCTTTTATTCCTTTCATGAAATATTAGCTTATGTTTTCAAGTCATTTAAGGGACCAGCTTCATCTGTCTTTTACCAGCGTCTATGGGAGGGCATACCGTTTCCTACACATTTTTTTTTTTTAATATTTTTATTTATTTTTAGGAGAAAGAGAGACAGCGTGAGCAGGGGAGGGTCAGAGAGAGAGGGAGATACAGACCCTGAAATAGGCTCCAGTCCCTGAGCTGGCAGTCAGCACAGTGCCCAACGCGGGGCTCGAACCCACGAACCGCGAGATCATGACCTAAGCGCAAGTCGGACGCTTAACCGACTAAGCCACCCAGACACCCCTCCTACACTTTTTTTTTTTTTAATGTATTTTCCCATTCCCATTTAATTGGGAACTTTATTTTTTTTTTAATGTTTTATTTATTTCTAGGAGAGAGAGAGAGAGAGAGACAGCGTGAGCAGGGGAGGGTCAGAGAGAGAGGGAGATACAGACTCTGAAATAGGCTCCAGGCTCTGAGCTGGCAGTCAGCACAGAGCCCGAAGCGGGGCCCGAACCCACGAACCGCGAGATCATGACCTAAGTGAAAGTCGGATGCTCAACCGACTAAGCCACCCAGGCGCCCCCCTCCTACACGTTTTTAAAGGGTTGGGAGCAGCCAGTGAACTGGGGGGAAAAAAAAAAAAGTTCTGTTTCCTTCAGTGACTATTCTGAGCGGTTGCTTTCCAGAACAGCCCCTAAAGGGGGCGCCTGGATGGCTCAGAAGGATCAGCGTCTGACTCTTGACTCTGGCTCAGGTCATGATCTCGCGGTTCGAGAGTTTGAGCCCTGCTTAGGGCTCTGTGTTGACAGCGTGGAGCCCTCTTGGGATTCTCTGTCTCTCTCTCCCTGCCTCTCCCCCACATATGCTGTCTCTGTCTTTCTCAAAAAATAAACTTTAAAAAACAGCCTGAAAAAAATCTCTAGAATAGTATTATCCCCTTTTAAATTGCATTGCTGTAAGGGATTCATTCAGCTCAACGCAGTGTGTCCTCTGTGCTGAACTCGGCATCGTGGCAAACAAGACGGGTGCAATCCCTGTCCCCAGAGAGCTTCCATTTTAGTGGGAGGGACAATTTAAAAAAAATGAACAAATAAAGTAAGCTCAGTAAGAGGGAACTGTCTTGAAGGAAGTAGAACAGGTGATGGGACAGAGAAGGATGAGGGTGGGGACAGGGGTGCTGAGGACCTCTCTAAAGAAGTTGCATTTGAGCTGAAACCTGAGTGACCAGAAGCGGCCAGCCTTACAGACAGTCTTGTGATCTGCGTGGCAGCCGGAGGCTTAAAGTCTCTTGCAATTTGTAATCAGTGTAGCCACTCAGGAATCCTCTCAGTTAAAGCCTCAAGTAAAAGTACTGGCACAGGATGGGTAAGTAAAGAAGCAGATGTGTTTCGAACTTAAGACTCAGTTCAACTGGATGAATCAGGGTGCAAGTGTTTGTAGCATTGTGTTGCTTTGGTTTTGGTTTGTTTGCCTGTTTTTAATTTATTTATTTAGATTCAAGTTAGTAACCTACAGTGTGGTATTGGTCTCAGGAGCAGAACCCAGTGGTTCATCACTTACGTACAACAGCCAGTGCTCATCCCAGCAAATGCGTCACTCTGTAGGGGGACTAGCCATCAGGGCTCCCCGAGAGAGCAGGACCCCAGCCCCCCTCACCTCCATAGCTCTGCACTCAGCACTCCTCTGTCCCCACCCACTTCCTGCCCGGGGTTTCCTTCAAAGCCACCATCTGATCCACGCTCCACTCCAGTGATTTAACTGTGCAAACCTTAAAAACAGACCCCATTTTATTCCTGCCTCTAGCCTCTCTGCACTAGCCCTTCTCGCTCACTTTCAGCTGCTGCTCAGTTGTTCATCTTTTAAATATTTCCTTGCTGAAAGTACCATTGTGAATCTTACTAGGTCTTGGGATGCATGATCTAATCTGTGATAGAGACTGCCCCGGGCACCGAGTTAGTGACCTAGAAGCTATTCGCGTTTTCCTCTGTGCTCAGATTTTAAGATTACAAAGATGAGAGCTTCCCCTGACTTATTTCCGATTTTGCTTCTGTGTGTGATTCAGGAAGGCGGACGAACCAAGAGCCACCGATACTGGCCCAAACTGGGTTCCAAGCACAGCTCAGCCACCTATGGCAAGTTCAAGGTCACCACAAAGTTCCGAACAGATTCTGGTTGCTATGCAACCACAGGCTTGAAGGTCAAGCACCTTTTGTCGGGGCAGGAAAGGACGGTGTGGCACTTGCAGTACACCGACTGGCCAGACCACGGCTGCCCGGAGGATGTCCAAGGATTTTTATGTAAGTTTTTTCTTCCCAGTCAGAATTTTAGCAGCTGCCTCAATGGTCTGATCAGTTGGAAGGGAAAGGGAAAGAGAGGATGCCTCCTTATAAGTGGCAAAAGTATTAATTACATCATTGAAATTTATGTTTTTTCATAAGTATGTAGAACAGAGAAGAATAATACACATAATTTATCATATTCTCCTTTACCCTTTAGGCAGATTAGCTGACAGTGTGGTAAACTGGTTCGTTCTGTCTTGATGGAGACCTTTAAGTGCTCACCAGTAAATAACTATCCTGATGTATGTCACATGTCTGAACCTTGAAAACATTGTTCTAAGTAGAATAAACCAGACACAAGAGGGCACAAATATTGTATGATTCCATTTTAATGAGGTACCCCGAATAGAAAACTTCGCACGGGTAGAAAGTGTAGTACAGGTTACCAGGGGCCAAGGGGAATGGGGAATAGCGAACAGGAAGTTATTGTTTGGTGGGCACAAAGTTTCTATTTGGGGCAGTGAGAAAGTTCTAGAAATGGATGGTGGTGATGGTTACATAATTCCGTGAAAAACACTTTTTTATGTTTCATGGAGGCTTGCAGCCTAAACCCTGCATTTACCTGTAGCAGAAGTCTCAGTAAGTACTTTCTTGTACCTCTGGTTAAGATACTAAGAATTACTGAAATCAACTTTTGGGGCGCCTGGGTGGCTCAGTCGGTTAAGCCTCCCAGTCTTGATCTCTGCTCAGGTCAATGATCTCATGGTTCATGGGACCGAACCCTATGTTGGGCTGTGTGCTGACAGCAAGGAGCCTGCTTGGGATTCTCTCTCCCTCTCTCTGCCTCTCCCCAGCATGTTCTCTCTCTTTCTCTCTCAAAATAAATAAGTAAACTTAAAAGAAAGAAAGAAGGAAGGAAGGAAGGAAGGAAGGAAGGAAGGAAGGAAGGAAGGAAGGAAGGAAAGAAAGAAAGAAAGAGAAAGAAAGAAAGAAAGAAAGAAAGAAAAAGAAAGAAAGAAAGAAAGAAAGAAATCAACTTGTTTTTGAAAGTATCATTTTTGAATTCATCAATTCATATATATTTTTCAGAGTATGATTTTCTTAGAAGCTGATTGACTTAGGACATATTCAGTACTTTATTTGAAAAGCCAAAAACTGGGTGTGTGCCCACTGCTTTCTAGGCCCCGGATCAGGCTCTCAGAATGTAGAAAAGAGACGGTCTCAGTTTTGAAGGTGCTCGTGAGAAAGGCAAGCCCGTGATGGCAGTCCCGGGGCGACATCTGGCACTGTCCTCTGCTTTCTGGTGATGGTTACAGTGCTGCCCTTCCTCTTCCACAGTCTGGCCTGATTGTTCCTGATTGTGGAGACGCCCCATCCCTTTGTCTCCCAGCTTAGGCCCAGGGTTCTCGGCGGATTCATTCCCTGCTGTGTCGTTGGCTGTCCAGCTGGTGGGAGTCAACGGAACCATCATCTGGATGTTGGATAATGTCAAGCCCTTGATTTTATTTTGATAGTCATTGAGAATTGAGGCATGGGGAGAGGAGGAGAGAGAGAGAGAATTGGGTTTTCAAGAACCTAAAAGCACCATTTCCCAACTTCCAACGTGAAGTTTCTGATGCAGACTTGTTTGCTGATGAAAGTGTTTCATTTTCCACCAAGAAGTGACAGTGGGCCATGTGAAGGTGGTCACTGACAGAGAGCGGAAGGATGATGGGAATCACAGGATCTGGAGCAAGAAAGATCTAGAGAGGCTCCATGCTTTGCCTGAGGTCAGACGGTTTTACTATAGCTCAAAATATTAATAAGGTGGGCAAGGACCTTTGTAGAACTTTTCCTCATAACAGTGCTTTTTTAATTTTTCCTGATAATCTTTTGCAAATTGATTTACTAGAATTATCTCCAAGATGCAGAAAACACAAACAATTGGGGCGCC